AGAGAAGGAAGGAGGGAGGGAGGGAGGAAAGAAAGGAGAGAAAGAAAGAAAGAAAGAAAGACTGAAAACAAGAAAGAAAGAAAAGAAAGAAAGAAAGAAAGATAAAGAAAGGAAGAAAGAAAGAGGGAAAGAAAGAAAGGGAGGAAAATATTCCTTACCTCACACTATACCGAAAAATCAATGCCAAGGGTATTTAAGATCTATGACAGCAATATGAAAAATAAAATGAAATAAATTTTAGAAGAAAATGTAGGAGAATTTTCCATGAGTTTGGGGTAGGGAAGAAGTTTTTAAAGAAGAAAAAGAAAGCATTTACTATAAAGGGAGTGACTAATAAATCTACTACTTTAAAAATAATCATTTCTCTTTATTATCAAGACAACATTAAGACAGTTAAAAAGACAAACCACACAACCGAAAGAGAACTGAAAGGCACACAATGGACAGACGGTTATCGTGTTCGTGTATAACTTTTACAAAGCACATTAAAACACATTAAAAAACCCCAAGCAAACAATTTGAATAAACACTTTAAAAGAGGAAATCGAAATGGCTTATACATGCAAAAAAGGTGTTAAATACAAACTTACAAGCTTGAAACATAATGGGATCTCTCCCACTCACATTGCCAAAAACTTTGAAAATTCTGCAATTCAAAGTGTTGCCAAGAACGTAGACCCACTGGGCTTCTCTCACCCCTGGGGGGATTACAAACTGGGAAAAGTACTGTGCAAAATAGTTTGGTGATCATTATTCACGTTCAGTTATTTAAGAATGTTGACCCAGCAACCTTCTCCTAGAGAACTGTATTCACATTGTACATCCTGACATCTATAGGAATGCTGGAGGTATCTTTCTTGGTGAGCCCCAAAATCAGCGACAGCAGAATGGGGACATAAATCGTGATATATCCATCCAATGGAATACTATATAGTAACGAACATGGACACATTGTTGCTGCATTCACAGCATGGATGAAGCTACAAAATGTAAGTTGAGCAAGAGAAGCCAGATTCAGAAGACGACGTTTCAACATTAGTTCATTAATGGAAAT